GCTACTAGTGTAAGTATTGAGCATCTAAGGGAAGTGTTGTTGGTTCACGTTGGGGGTTTTCGAGGGAAGGGGTTTAAAGAGCTGATACACATATATGTAAAATACATATATGTATATATGCCTGATTTTTGGAAACTCCCACACGTATGTGAATACTGCTCTTAAACAACACCCACGGCTGCTCTATGAACAAAACTACTGGCAGTAACACAACCAAGGCGGGAAGGATTACGACGGAAAGAAAGAGTCCAACAACATTCACCAAAATAAACTACTTGTTGTATGAGTTGCAATGTCTCTATCAAAAGACTATGCTACTTTTGAGGTGGATGTTAGGCTCCATTGTCGTAGAAAAACCCCATAAAATCCCAGCATCCATTTCTTAACCTCCAGTTCCTTTGCATTTGATTCTCCACTACTGGGCTAGCATCTCGAAACTCTATACAAGCTGTATACGCGAACCCCTGACCGCTAAACCCTTCTCCCTAAATCATGCTGAATGGTATATAGTGGGATAATGGAAAATAAAATGGAAATTACTATATTATAATAGAGTATCCCTAAACATTATGATTTACCATGTGCTGATGGATCTTCTTGAAAATCCTGGGGCTGTCGCAGGAACGCCTGTGTCCACGGGCGGATCCATGATGAAAGCATGGCAGTTTCGCAGGGTTCAGGTACCAGGCTTAGCGTTGCGGATTTTGGGATCGGGGTTTAGAATTTAGGGATTGGGGTTCCAGGTTGAGGCTTGTTCAGCAGTGGGCTGTCATGTTGAAAATCAGACCCCATATGGTTCCAACCCGTTGGCGCTGATGTTGGTACTCATGCTGCAAATATAACGGAGCTACTCTGTTTTGGACCAGGAAGACTGACTCTATCCGATAGTTAACATGATTAGGGGACCCCCATATAGACACCCGAATACTATACTCTTTATTTTAGGGACACCAAAAAAGTACCCCCTAAACACTAAACCCTAAATAGCCGCTTCCATTTTCTTTTCCATTATCCCTGTATAACCCCTATAATCCCAATTGAAACAAATTAAAGACCATTAGAAGCTAGGATGCATGGCGCGCTCTCTAGCAGACGCTGTCGAACTCCGGATCAAAATCAGTCGTGACATGCATGACTCTGTGCTTGAGGTTAAAGGGGGCTACATAAGGGATGATATAGGGTTATATAACCCCATATAGGGATATATAAGGTTTAGGGCCTAGGACTTAGGGTTTTGTCGTTTAGGATGTAGGGGTAAGGATTTAAGATTGCCGGGTCTAGGGTAGAAGTTGTGACAAGCATACGCTCGTAATCTTGAGTCGCTGGTCTCGCAGGTCTTCTTAACCGGGACAACTCTGTCGACTTACTGGTGGGTAGTGGGGAATCAGGGAATACAATCCCCGTATTGTTTTTTTTTCTCTAGGCCTGAATAATATACTCCCTTATTCCCCACTGAACCCCAGTAAGTATAAGCTGCAAGGACGTCCATCTTGATTTAAAACCAGGCCCAGCTTTATGGGTAACCTCCAAATTACCTCTACATAGTCCTTCAAACAGGGCACCTGTCATCCCACAATCCCTTATAATCCCTGTATGTATATGCCCAAATCCCTACGACAAACCAAACCATTCCAGGGAACGCGGACTCAGGAAGCCTCACCCATAAGGGTTTAGGGTTTAGGGTTTAGGGTCATACTGGCATGAAACCCTTTCTCCAACCGCCGCAGAACCCTTCTAGATTTGAAATTCGTAAAAAGCCTGGTTCAAATGAACAACAGTCTGAACTCCTTGTATCCCCCTTAACAAGCCTCATAGCAACCGCCCCATTTGGTAGTTTCCCAGAATAATGGGACCCTAATATAGACCCGCAAAACATTTATTATACTCCTTATTATGGGGACCCACGAAAATGTACCCCTAATTTTGGGAAACCCCCATATCATCCTCTTTAAGGAGTTTAGACTATATTTCAAACAGGGGTACGCTGGGCTCGGCACTTTGAGGGGAATCACTCTCAACATGGGAAGCTAGATTCAACCATTTGGGTTTAGCAGGGTTTAGGCGGCGGGAATACAGGCCCATGAAATGGGACTTGTGTACAGTTTTTGTACAGTGTTCATTTCGTCATCACTGGTGCAAGTATCAACCACTGAAGCCCTCACATTTGCATCAACTCACATTTTGACAACTCCAACTATGACACAGCAAGGGTGACAACACTAGAATAATCTAAAGCAATGCTTTACCATGCCGGTAATGTTTGCAATGAAAAGTGTTCAAATGATGAATTAGCCTGTGGAATTGTAATATTCAAATATTTTGCTCAGAATACTTGAAGTAAAAGTCATACCCAAACCATAACAGGACCAGCAGTAGCCGTTTCTGGTCCTTGCCGCCAAGCTTTTCTGAGGTTCCCAAAATGTTTAGACTCCAGCGGCAAGGTGGTCGCTCCAGTTCTGGCAAGCTCTTCACTCATTGGTGTCTGAATTAAAAGAGGTCATACAGAGATGATTCTAGGAATCACTCCGCCACTCCTCCTTAAGCACCCGCATTGGAAGCCGGCTGAAATCATAATCCTCACACCTTGCAGCTGGTGTGCCACAATAGCACAAGGCATCTGAGACAAGGCATGCGAATGACGTCTGAAGGTCAAACACCATGAGGTCCGAAAGCAACAGCAAAAGAGCCACGGAGCTGGAAGAAGACAGCACTGCTTCACAAATGTCGCCTTTCGCCCCGTTTCAGATCGTTGTCCCCAAGTATAGCTCCAGCTCAGGGCCAACTACCGTGTCATTTTTTGAGTAGCTGCCAGGCTCTCTTCGAAGGACTCCATCAGCACCAACCGACAAAATGGGCCCGCAGTGCTGTACCAGAACATGCATCTGGACTGTGCTTTAGAAGTAGACAGCGGAAGGGGCATGTCGAGATTCGCTGAGCAAACCTTCCCAAAGACAAGTTCCGAACGCAGCGCCCGAGCAACAAGGCCAACTCATTGCCAATTGTCGTTGCATTTTCTTCTTGTCCAAGGTCGGTGACAGGTTTCCAGCCACCTATCTCAGGGATCATCACAGCCTTCCAGCTTGCACGAAAAGCCAAGCCTTGGCAGGACTGGGATAATAATGGTAAGACTAGTGGCAAGAGCAGTAATAATGACAATTAAAGTAATGATAGAAGGAAATATCAGAGTGAGTGTGGTAATGACAAGTGTCATACTACGTAATTCTCATGAGCATACCAGTCACGCTTAGCATCCACTATCATCAAGTAGGCCAAGCTCTCAGACTTAGTGCTTAGAGCCCGAAATAGGGGGACAACGATATAGACCCCAAAAGGCTTTAATCCTTTTTATAGGGACCCAAAACAAAGCCTAGTTTTTGGAAACGCTCACGCTATGAATCGTCATCGAATCCCTATAAAGGCCCCAAAAGTTGGGGAACCCCCTGTGCACTTCGCCTTGAGGACAATGCCGTTCAAGAGGACGCTGAAAATGGCAAGTACAACCTCCTCACCAAAATCCTTGGTTCAGTGGTAAAAACATACTATTACCATTACTATTATCATTGTTATTACTCTGACCATAACTACTATAACCAAAAAGGCCAAGTCTTCGAAATCCACAACTCGTCTTCCCACATGAGCTTTCTGCAAGCCCTGGTAGAATGTTGGGGCATTGATTTTCACTAACTAAAGCCTTGGGGCATATTCTACTATAGCTATATGAGGATTATTGGGCGATAACATTAGCAACAGTTCAGTCTTGTCGATGACAAATTCTCTCCGTCAACCCCACCCCCCCCAGCCCTATAACTCTAAACCCTGAACCCCAGGTAATTTTGTAGTTTCCATTTTCTCCATTATTCCCTACAGAACCCCCCTAACCCCTACTAACAGCTAGACCCCCTCCTCCTTGCAAGCCATGGTCGGAGAACTCATCCCTTCCGCTTTTGGCGCTTGCGGCTCCGTTTGCCTCTGCCCTTCTTACTGGCTGTCTCGCAGCTTGGATCCTCAGATTTGGAATTTCTCAAAAGGTTAGGGGTTTACGTAGGGGTGTAGGATTTAGGAATTTAGAGGTTTAGGGTATAGGGTTCAGGAATTTAGAGGTTTGGGGTCTAGGACTTAGGAATTTAGAGGTTTAGGGTCTAGGATGTAGGTGTTCATGGCTTCAACCTTCGGATTTATCAAAAGAAGGCTGCCTCCGTCAATGACTCAACATGGGGCAACTTCTAGGGATATATCTAAATTCCTTTCAGAAGAGGGGGTTATATAGGGGATTATTTTGAGGAATACTATGGGGGATATTAAGGAGTATAGACTATGGCTCATATGGAGATTATGTTGTATGCCAGGGGTTCCCTGGGCTAGAAATTTTGAGACATACCCTGGCCGGGCGATGGACATACACTTTGGGTCATTTCCCCTTACAGGCACTGTCCATTTGCTTGGAAACCCCCATGGCGCCTTGCGCAAGGTTGGAGGGGCAAAATTTATGATTTAGCAGGATGACAAATTCTTACGGCAATGGTGGTCCCGTCACACCTCCTATAGCCCATGATAATCGGCCTGAAACACCACCAGTCCATCCCTCTGCGTTTACTGCCCAACTCCCACACAACGCCCTGTGCAGCGCAGAGATGTTAATCCCGCCTCATGGAGCCAATGCCCGGTTAAACATTCTCGGCCCATTGTTGTTCACGCAAGGAAAACGGAAATTGGACTAGATATCTAACAGGAATAAGACCTCATCACACAACGCGTGGGACTTCGTATCGAATTGTTAGGTCTGCTTATACTCACCTCGAATATCTGAAGAAGACCCTAGAATGAAGAGAATTCAACACCTCACATGCTAACCCAATGTAGTTTCACGTCAATCAATCCAAAAAGCAGGGGCCTAAACTAAACATATTTGTAATTGCATTCAAGCTCCTACATTATGGGAAAAGGATCCTTAAAACTAAACCCTCAACCAATTCTTCAAGCTCCATTATGGTAACAGGATCATCCTGGCACTGTAGCAACAGCGGGTTTTGCAACTCCATCTGCAGGATCGCGCGACGGCCAGAAGTGACTGGAGAGATCCAGTGCTCACACCTTAGGGACCAAGTCTAAACTCCAAACCCTAAACCCTGCATAAGCACCCTTTGCAGAGCTTAGACTATGGTGGACACTCCTGAGGCAGAACCCGCCATCCTTCAAAATGCGGGCTCCCAGTCTCTTACTCCCTCATTGGGATCCGGGTAGGGATGGATTCGTGCTTAGGGTTGAGGGCTTAGGGATCCTAAGGCTGGGATTCTTTAAGCATGGCCTTCAGAACTTCTTGAGAGATTGAGCCAGGATTTAAAACAAGTGCTTGCAGCAACGCTCAGGGCAGAACTGGGTTTGCTAAGTCAAGCCTAATTGAAACCTGCGAACGGACGAAGAACCCAAAAAAAGCCGCCCCCCAAGTGTGTTGGAAACGCAAAAAGAACTGCTTCCACTGCAGTCAGGCTCTGATGCCCGTAGAAGAACACAGCATCCCCCGACTTCAGGATCACCTTGGGTTTAGGGTTTAGGGTTTAGGGTTTAGGTTGCTGAGGGTTTCAGTATTGGGGCTTATGGTGTAGAGCTATCCAAGTTCTGTTCAGTTTAGGGCTTCGGGCTACGCAAAAAGTTTATCCCGGGAGGCCCATCTCCCTTCATTGAAGACCCCTCGAGTTAAGGAATGGAATTGAAAATAGAAGCCACAACTTATTTAGAGTTTAGGGTATGCATAATCACCAAATGTTCCTTGAATCATAGAGAGGTACCGATAACATTGGAGGTGTATTTCTGAAGGTGTAGTGGGCCCTCAAGGTAGGACGTAGGGTTTGGGGTGTTAAGTTTCAAGCTTTGGCTCCGCGGCTTTGAGATTTAGGACTTTCTGCTTGCGCAGTTTGAGAGCTTTGGGTTCAGGATTTGTGGTTTCAGCTTTTGGTGGAACCTGAACCAGGAGTGATTGTCCAGAAACCTTTGTAGGGAACCGCTCATCTACATCCCCCTCCAGCGCGGGTAAGTCACACGCCGCTTCTGTGGAAGACCTTTGAAAAAGTTCGTTCCTTGGTCACGCGAATCCGGTCTTGGGCTTAGGGTTTAGGGTTTTGATTGTCTTGGGCTTAGGGTTTAGGGTTTTGATTTAGACTTTTAAGGCTTAGGATTTAAGGTTTAAGGCCTAGGGTTTGAATAATTAGAGTTTGTGGATTAGGTGATCTGCACAGGGCTGAAATAAGGATGGCTTTGCGGTCAAGATTTAGGGTTGAGATTCTAAGCTTTTCCGGAAAAGAAAAGGTACATTCCCGACCCAGTTACCTCCCTCAAAGTCGGAAGGGTCCGAAAGTAGAACCACGACTGAGACCATCGAGCCGTTGTCGTTGTGTTTTGCTATCTTGCCTTCACACCCCAGCTTCTCCACATCATACTCCTGGTTTGTTGATGGGAAAGCCTCAGCCCTGAACCCTACATCCTGGACCAACCTTGAACGACGGACTTCTCTTTAGGTCAACTATGCCACACTGTCTACGTAAGCGTTTGAAACTTAAAAGCCTCAAGAAAATACGCAAAACCTTCCACTAACGCCGGAGACTCAATGTATTCAATCTGCGGGAGCGTGTAGTCGTAAGGGCCCAGATTCTTCCAAATGTGCTGGTCCACTGACCAAGCTGTGAGCAAGAGCTTCTGATACCTCTTGGAACGGGCTTGTAGTTGAGCAGTCACAATAGAACAGGAAAAGAGCCAAAGCAATAAATAAATGATGATAATTACAATAATAGAAATGATAACCGTAATAGTAGTAATAACAAAAGGCGTAGTAGGGTCTCAGGACCTGCGGTCTGAAGTGTTTGTATCTTCAAAACTTTCAGTCTAGAAAAGAGATCGAGGCGCTTGAAATCTGCTGCCTCTTTGCCAAAGGCAATCATCTTGGGATTCAGGTTTAGGATTTAACGGATTCTTAAAGACAGTCACATCACTCTCTCATCATGATGTGTATGTAGACCCATGGAATGCTCCAAATGTAGTTCGAAGTTTGTATTCGGGCTCAGAAAATACTGCCTGTTTATGAAGGAAATTCTGAGGACCCAAAACAGGGAACCCTTAACTAAGGATTGGCAAAAGCCCTCCCTCAGTCTTGACTAAGGCTTCCGAGGTCCTGAAAGTTTCGTTGGACCACAGGAAGGTCCAAGTAACTGAAACCAAGAAAACTGTGCCATTTTGCTGGTCACCGCTTGCTTAGTTATGTCAATCTGAACCAAAACACACAAAAAGATAGCTTGAGTATGTGTGATGACCTATATTCTGGCTTGAAACCTGGCTAGTTTCTCAAAACTGGGGTGCCGATCAAGACCCTTGAAGACCCTAGGAATCATCAACACATCAAAATGGTTCTTTCAGGGATCATACAAAACTAAGTTGAGACCTCCCAACCCTAAACCCTAAACCCTAAACCCAACCCCTAAACCCTAAACCCTAAATCTCATTAGCAACTTCAGGGCCTCGAGACCCACTTGGAAGGTACCGTAAGGGTTTGGGGTCGGGCGGACTGAGTAAGCACACGTATAACAGCATAACTCATAGCCCCACCTCAAGACTCTACCTTTTCTCATTATCAACCTACTTACTGATTCCCCCCAACGCTGCAAGTATCGCTCTCTACCATTAGAATCGGAACGCTTTGGGCGCAGCGCTTTTGGAAGGATGTCTGCAATCAGGGTATAAATGTTTTGGGCCATAGACCCCCTTACGTAGATAGAATATGGCTTTCGGTATATTATAATAAGATCCCCATGTACCCCAAAATCTATCTACTTAAGGGGGATTATAGCCTTCAGGCATGCTCTACAATGCTGGAGGTGAGATAGGAGATTGCCATGTCCAGCAATACCCCTGTAACACCCCCTTTATTACCATTATTACTGGCATAACTGCTGTTTACTAATATTACTAGTATTACTATCATTCTATTAACTATTCTTACTGGTAAAACTGCACTTTATTGATATTACTAATGTTACTATCACTACTATTATTATCATTGCGATTCTTACCATCATTACCATTATTACTAGTAGTACCATTATTATGATCATGCCAATTATTATTTCCATTCGTACTATGATTCAACTTACAATGTATCAAGCCCGCGGAATTTAGTCACTGTCCGAGGAACAGGTCATGATACTCTTCTCTGAGGGCAGATTCAATGCGGCGCACGTAGTGGGTGAAGATCAGGCCTGAGATTTGTAGAACATAGTCAGCATAGTAAACCCTAAACCCCAAACCCATACCTTAAACCCCAAACCCCAATCCCGGAATCATAATACAGGTACAGACCATCAGTTGAGCGATATCAAAGAGTCATGCGGGGAGGGTCGCAGACCCTCTTGGCGATCGTTAAATGACACTTCCCCATGTAAGCCCTAAACTCCAAACCCCATATTAGCTACTGTCGAAATTCCATACCTGGCTAATGGACATGGGCTTGGGGTTATCGTTTTTAATTGTCTCCCCTATCGTTTTTCAGCATTGTCGCCTTTTTCATAAAAATGATTACTTAACACATCCTAAGCAGCACGGCCCGCTGCATCAGGGCTATCGTTTTGTTTTGTCTCCCCTATCGTTTGACAGGGCTTGCAGCGTCAGGCACAAAAGACATGTCCACCCGAGACATGATCAAATGGCTGGAAATTTTGACTGTCGCGCATAATATGCAGAACCCTGAGCCCGAAATCCTAAACCCCAGATCCTAGACCCTAAACCCTATATAACCCCGTTATAGCATCTTCCATTCTATTTTCCATTATCCCAATATAACCCCAATACAACCCTAATATTACCCCAACAACCCTAAATCCGAAACCCTAAATCCCAAACCCGGCAAGGGTTGAAATTAACAATTACCCAGCAGCCCTCATGGCGGTCTTTCACCTGGCTTTTAAGCTCTGGAGCATTTCAACTAATTCTGGGTTGATCATCGATAGGAAGTTCTACCTGTCAAGAACCCGTTAGAGTCGCTGTGGGCTGCAAACTGCTGCATGTCCCATACTTTGAGGGACTCTCGTTGATCACAGCTTGCTTCCGTACGGAGCATTACTTGGTAACCCCAACCCCCAAAAAGCAGGACACTATCACTATTAGGCCTTTTTCCACGTTGATTGTGGAAAATCATTCAGCAATCTCATTCTCGCGCAGTGATTAGAACAATGTCGACCGGTGCTACATTCACAGCCTCTTGAAGCTATTCTTCCTACTGGTCCTACTGTCTGAACGCCTCAGATTGATAGATCCTCTTCTTGGTCTTTGTATGAGCTAGAATCTAAACTCCTAGAATTCCCCTTAATAACCCCTATACTGCTCCCCTATATAAACCCCCCATATAACCTCCTGTAAGGAATCTAGACAGCAGCTTATATGTAGAAAGGATCCAACTTTGGAGATGCTACAGGTCGTTGATGGGGCTTCGGAGTCAAGGTGATTTCATCTCAACACCCAGGTTCCCGGTTTTTCTGTATAGAAATTTCTTTTGCAGAGATAGGCTTCTACAGGTTTACCTTGCAATCGACTCCCGGCCGAAATTGCGGCGGAGCTACTTCTGTGGTGGTGTTTTCTCGAAACAAAGTGCCCCTGGGGACTTAAAGAATATGTGGAGACATAGGGAGTGTAAGCTGCGGGGGGCTCAATTCTACGAGTAGAACTTAGGCAAAGCTCCTGCATGCAAATCCCAAACGCAATTCAAAGTATCCGTGTGGGGTGAAAGATGTGATACTGAACCTCAGAAAGCACAATCTAGACATTCATAGACCTAAAGTGAAGAGAATCACAGTAGTAATCGTGAAAATAATGACAGTAAGATAAGTAGTAATAACAATAATAGAAAGGTAACAGCAGTAAAGACAATAAGAATAACGATAATAATACTAGTAAATAGTAGTAATACTAATAGTAATAAATAATAGTAAATAGTAATACAGAGTACAATGATAATAATAATAATAATATCAATAATATGGTACCTCCCAAGAACTGGGATGATCCGCCACTCGGTCAAGTATCTGGATCTCGACGTCCTCAGACCACATACGCGGAGGTCACGGTAAATGTGTATATCTGTGCGATCTATAGTCTAAACTCCTTAAAGTGGGGCTAAATAGGGTATTCTATAAGGGAGTATTATGAGGTTTATTAGAAGGGATACTCGGAATGTAGACAATGGCTCATGTATGAGGCCAGAACCATTGCATGTAATGTGGTTTGCTCGGTTGACTTTTACCGTCACCACTACTTACTTGAGGATACATGTGCGAAATCTTGACCGCCCATCCCTGCCCAAACGGGCGGGTGCCACCTGCAACCTGCTGCGCAGCTACTTGGAAGGTCAATGGTTGTTATGTGGCTTGTAAGGGTCATATTAAGACTATAAACAGACCAAATAGCTCCCCGGGTTCCTGGCAAGTGGCCTCACGAAGCTCAAAATCTACACATTAGTGGTCCAAGCAAAACTTGGTCAGTGCTTGTCAGCCTGAACAGGCAAGTGAAGTTAAGACCGACATGAGGACAATCAGCACCAGGCACCGAAGCAATAGTCCATCCCTGGTCTTTTTCACATCTCTAATCGTAGCACCTTCTGCAAGGCCAAGCCACTTCCTCTGTACCCGATTCCATTGCCACTACATCCTCTGGGCTTTACCCTGAACCAACTTCGTTCAGAAGTGCAGACCGGGCGTCGCCCAGGAATTGCGGCAAAACGCCAAGGACTAAGTTTGGATTGGATCCAGGCACCTGCTACATGCTCAGCAGGGCTCCAGGTCCAAGTTTGAGCTGTTAGGTTGGGATGCGTGTTCAAGACGTAAGGCTTGGGGTGAAGGACGTGGGCATGAAGTCAAGAACTCACATTATCAGGAGGAAGATCGGAGATCTTCCTCCCAAGATTCACGAGACCCAAGGTCACAATCCGCAAGGCTGATTGGGTCGTGGTCCTTCTGATTGCTAGTATAAGGCTTCGGGTTTCAGCTCTCCGTGTATTGCCTGCCTGGATGTAACGGACTACAACTGAGTCTCCCAGCTCAAACAAGACTGGTAACAAACCATGGACCCCACCAGCATTCATAAAGCTAGTCCATAAGTGTCCAACGCTTACAACTACTGAATCGAACAGAGAACTCCATTCAGCCCATGCCGCAACAGAACACTACACCTCAACATTCTTTGCGTAAGGCTAGCTTTGGAACATACACAACCCGCGCGTATCTCTTGAAGTTTGCACCCCGCTTCCTGCTCCAGTCTTGGTAGATCAGGTAGGGAGGAATGCCGTGGAGACCAGGCCACCTAACCACACCCCAACTTTTAAGTAACTAATCCTAAACCCTAAACCTTAGTCCCTAAACCATTGGTTCCCCCACTATACCCCCTAAGGAATATCCTTACGTAACCTTAAGGGGATGGTAGTATAGGACGGGTAATAGGGAACCCATGACAGATGGATCCAATATCAGGTCTCCCAGTTTATGATGCGAGATCATAGAAGCATTCCATGGAGAACATCTTGGGGTTATAATATAGATTTGGGCCTTTCCCAAAAATACGGAGTACCTTTTCTAGGGGCCCTAAAAAAAAGGGCGATAACATTTTGTTGTCTATATTGGGGTTCCCTATTTTGGGAAACTATTGTTTTGGGTTTCCCA